CTCTCTCTCTCTCTCTCTCTCTCTCTCTCTCTCTCTCTCTCTCTCTCTTTCTCTCTTTCTCTTTCTCTTTCTCTCTCCCGCTCCCACCACGTGAGCGCCTTTGGCGGCGTTGATACGCTTAAACTAAGTAATTGGAAATCCTGGTTGAATGGTTGCAGAAAATCGGCAGCCGGAGGGGTTTTTAATTCTTCAAGTTATGTTTTTGGGACAGAAAGCCATGATTCTTTCGAATGTTTTCCGTTTTGCTGCTCAAGCTGCAGCTCATGTTTTTTGATGTAAGAGAACTCTTTTCCAGATATGGATGCCGTTAACGAGCTGCAACATCTAGAAGCCTTTTTGGTTGATGAGCATGAGCGTGATCAGAAGAAAATAGAGAATCTCTATGAATGTGTGCAATATGCCGCTGCAATCGTTCCGCGATTGTGAGTTATAACGTTCTGGTATTATATCTTCTTTGCTAATATCAGTTAAGGTATAAGTTCCCTCCTTTTCCCGGAAATAATTGTTAAGCCAAGCATGTAGTGTATTATATGACCTTTTAGCTTTTTTGGTCCCTTTACTTCCTCGATATTTTTCGTCCCCTCTTCCATTTTGAACCTTTGTTTTCGAGGCATGTATTGTTAATAATTTGCACCGAACTACCATATCTTCAGTAAAACTTTCAATTTTCTTTTCCAGATATCTCTTAATAACTATTGGAGTAGTATATATAAAATGTGGCGAGGACACTCGTCGTAATATCCTCAGCGATCTCGTCGAAATGTGTCGTGGAGTGCAACATCCGTTGAGGGGTTTATTTCTGAGGAATTATTTGCTGCAAAGCACTCGAACCCTTCTTCCAGATAACCCTGATCTAACCACTACAGAGTACGTCTTTTATTATATTTCCTTGATCTGGCTTCTCAGTTGGTTCTTCATGCCGCAGACTTATTGATGTAAGATAAGGAGTGCATTTTTAGTGTAAATGACTTGCCTGAGTCGGATAAGGAACCACGCGAATGTGATGGCACTGTATCGGACGCTATTCACTTTGTGCTAGTGAATTTCGCCGAAATGAACAAGTTGTGGGTTCGAATGCAACATCAAGGTCCGTCAAGAGAGCGAGAGAAACGGGAAAAGGACCGTATGGAGTTGAGGTCAGTCTTCATTGCATTTTTTCGTTTTTCCTCGCTCTTTTTTGTAGGAGTTACTCGAAGTCACCATATTAACCGAGAAAATTGATTGGGAATGAAAATCACTTGACGCTTCGAAAATCCTACAAATTAGAGAGGGGTCGGAAGCGAAGAGGCAGTTGAGTTTCCGTCCACGTGCCCTTAGAGGAAGCCGAGCTAAGCATGGTCGTCCCTTTACGCTCATCAGTGCGGGAATGGAGGAACATGTAGTTC